CCAGTTTGAAAAGGCATTCTCTACGATTTTGATTTTCATGTACCCTCCCCTTCAAAAAGCGAGAAAGTGTCGGGTGCAGACCATACACCACAAGTGACGACGGCCTCCAAGTAAATCTGGTTAGTAGTGGTTCATAGTGATAGCTGATTTTTGGTAAATGATAGTTGTAATTAGTGACAACTGATAGAATACAACTGCAACAGGCTAATCATTTCATTGGCAGAAAACACATTTTGTGGAGGCCGTCGTCACTTGTGGTGTATGGTCTGCACCCGACGCTTTTCGGCTTTTTGAAAGGGAGGGTAGTCATATCAATACTTTTCTACATTCTTTCCAATTTTTCAAGGACTGCGACTTCTCTGAGTATGAAGAAGAAGAGGAGCCACAACCCAGACCAAGAGTGAGGCCAAAAAGAAAAGCTCGTCATCCAAGTGAAGGTGGGTGCTTTTTTTATTCAAGGTCTTATGAGGTCCAGCCCATTTTCTTGCTGTTTGAATGAAAAAAATTGTAGAATGCATTATTGTATCCTATCTGTAGAATCCGAAGCTGCTTCGATTTCTCCATCGGAACGTCGAACAAATGGTCACTACTCCACTAGAACCAGCAATTCCAACAAACGCCGCCGAATTGAGAGTCATCGCGATGATGAGGTTTCGCGCTCACGCAGAGGCCGTAACACTCGTCGAAGTGTGGCTACTGTAAGTTATGTAGAAAGCGACGAGGATTCAGCTCCAGATGTACCGAATATCAGCTCTCGTGGTAGAGTTCGACGGCCACGACGGCCGATTCATTTTTAGTGCTGAATGGAGTTTTTATAGGGGTAGAACAGTCCCAAACGACTCTTGAAAAAAAGTGTCTTTACTTCCAAGGTCAAAAAGTGTTTATCAAGTACTTCGGATCAACTGTACGGGATTAGCTCGCTCATCGCAGTAAGATCTATGAGGTTTTGATAGTGCTGTTCTGTTAGTTAAGTTTAAAATACTGCAAGTGCCTTTTTGAGGATGGTCAGCTCTTGGCGCATGGGTGTAGTCCTCCGTTCGTTGGTGAGATTTCGACTCTTCTAATGTGTAGGGTAGCGATTTGCGCCTAAGTATTTTCTTTTGGAAATGGAGCAACGGAACTAGACTTACATGTTGCGTCTTACTGCTCATTGGACGAAAAATTCTATGCATCACCTTTTTCATTCACCATATACTCACAGCATAATCGATGTCAGCTGCTGACCATGTCAAAAGGTCTAAGAGGTGATCTTCTCATTAAAAGGTCTAAGAAGAAAAGTTAGCTTGGTGGGCTTTTTTGCTATACGTCGTTATGATTTTTCTACTCCTTTTAAGGTTATCACATGTGCACATTTTAGTATTGTATTATGAGTTCCGATGCCACAGAATTTGCTTTCACATCATCTACACCATCATGTTTCCCTTAATTTATTTCGTATCTTGTCCACATGCTAACACAAAATATTGTTATAATTACTGCTCGATTGTTTTATGAGTGGAATTTCCTGATATCAGTGTGATCTTTCGTCGTACAATGTTTGAGATCAACTCAGGTTATCAAGTGATTTGTGTCAAGTCTCGTGTTTTACCCTCGTCAGTAATTTGAGTATGATACAGTACATCTGTGAATTAGGTTGTTTGTAAGGTGAAAACACTAATAAACGTTTGTTGCTCGTCGAGCTGTGGTAGAGGAAAGGTTGCAGCCTGAAAAATGTCGAATTATTGGGCTTCTGTAGGGGTAGAGCACTTTACGTCGACGATTTCATCAGGTGAGTTGCTTCAATCAGACCACGTTTCTATGTCTTCGAACCTGGCTTATAGTCCGTGCCAGAATGAAGTGTCAGTCGTTAAAACGGACTTTTCTGACTCCAAATCTACACGAAACCGGGTAAGCATCTGTTTTGACCGCGTGGCAGAGACGTCGTACTGGTGTAATAAGTCGGCATGTGTATTATTCAGAACTTTTCTGGCCATGGTAATCTCCACTACTTTTTTGGCTAGGAGTGCAGCATTGCAGCATGGAGAGCCATCTACAAGCATGGATTCACCACTGTCATGGGTTCGACGTGATACCAATGATTCGCTCAAAGGTGTGTCCATGTATCAGCACTATCTTAATGCTGCGTGCAGAAAAGGGGGTTAGTGGGGCTTACGGTCAGCTGTCGAGTCATACCTTCTATGGGAGCCGGTAAGGCCATATGCGAGTCGTAGAAAAGAAAACGTGCACAGGGGTCCCACAGCTCTGTTTTTGAAGTACAATATCGCTTCGTTGAGATTGCAGTAGAAGAAATACGCTGAAGGGGTAAAATAAAAAGGCAGCCTTCAGATGTGAGCGATCAAAAAGGATAAAGGATAAAGCATTTGCCGTTGATCAATCCCTTTTTTGGGATGCGGCACGCATTCTACTTCCATTTGTACATTCGTAGTGGCGTTTGAATGCGATGTGGCCTATACAATGACTTGCGGGGGCCAGCCGATGTACAAGTCAGTGTTTTTATCCTCCCAGACAAGTCTGGTACCAATTAACCGACCCCGGAGGGATGGAAGGCTTGGTTGGCGACCGGGTGTCGACTTTACGCCCACGGATTGATACTGGGACCGCGCCGCCGAGCGGGTCCAGGGATCAATCCTGGAGGTAGTTAAGTACACCTGTAGCTCCCTCACGGTAACTATGTTAGCGTGCACACTGCCGCCCCTAGATGTAAGACGAGCCATAATGTATGATTTCCTCTACCCACCACCAAATGTACTGTATTGTGCCGTGAAAAATGCATTTGATATCATGTGGGATCAAAGCACCGTGCGCTGAGAGTGAAATGTTAGTAAGTAGAACTTCTCACTAAGATGGGAAGAAGTATCGTTGTTTGGTGGCACCAGGTAGGTCACTAGGTGTAGTATGTACGCATTGACGTCTAAGCAGAAAAGCTAATTTTCCTAGGTTGAGGTGAGCGCGATTTGGTGGAAGATTACCTTGAAGCTTTTAACTCTTTTATCCAGGGTTGCAGAACAGAGTGTGGAATTGTTGTTCAATCAATTTTTCGAGTCTGTGAACGTGGTTTTAGAAGAGCTCATTCGCTCGCACAACTCTGGCAGCCGCCTGTCGAGTATTCTATTTTGTACTTGTTTAGTTCGATTTGTTTGTATGTGGGGTCAAGTGTCAATACGTGATGGACAGTAAGGATGAATTAGCTGGCACATTTTGACGTCCATTTGAATCAGTATGCAAGTAGTCGACAGCAGTCTTGTAGGTATTTCCACAATTTATTCCTTTTACAGTTTACTTTGTTATCTCTTTTAGGGTGGTTTCGCTATTTATTCTCGCATTGAGATGGTTAAAAGTCTTGATGGTCTTTAGTGGTCCTTCCATGATGAGACCCTCACCATGACATCTAGTGTAAGGAGGAAGAGGAACGGGCTCAGAGCTGACCCTTGGTGCACCCCAACCGTGATGTCCACTTCCTTCGTTAGGCCGTGTGGGGTGCGTATAGCTGCCTTCGCCCCATCGTACATGTCCTTCACCAGAGAGATCAGGTGTTCTGGCACATTCCGCTCCCTGAGCGCTCTCCATAGTACTGTTCGAGGTAGTCGGTCGAACGCCTTCTCCAGGTCAAGGAAGGCTAGGTAGCAGGGTCGGCGTGCGCTTCCGCCGCCCTGGCGTCGGTCCTATTCGATCGCTTCCTGCGCGGGTTAATGAACGGAGCGGCACGTGTCAACGGAACCTAGCGGCGAGCATAGTACCCAAATAACGGGGGAGCCGGGACACCAGCTCCCAATAGTTTCGGAGTCGACAGTCGCTGTTTACAGTGTCAATTGTGCAGTCCGATATGGAGCAGTTCCAACTTGATCCCGCGGTAGTTGGAGCAGTCCATCGCGTCACCCTTCTGCTTGAAGATGGGGACGATAGTGCTTGTTCTCCAGGCATCCGGCATCCTTCCTTCGGTGGTTACCGTGTTCAGGAATTGGGTAAGCCATCTGATCCCGTACTCTCCGAGCGCCTTCCATGCCTCGATTGGCACCTTATCTGGACCCACCGCCTTTCCAACCTTCATCTTCCTTAGTTCTTGACGAACCTCATCCTCTGTCCATAGTGAGATAGGGCCAGCCGTCGCCTCTGCTTGCGAGCTGTCTTTGTGGGGGTACTCCTCGTTCAGGAGCGCTTTGTAGTACTCCTCCCACCTCCTCCTGACTTCAGTTGGCTTCCTCAGGATGGCACCGTTACTGCTCTTCACGCTCTTCACCACCCTAATGTCTTGGGTAGCCCGATGCCGGGCTTTGGCCAGTCTGAAGACGAACTTCTTCTGCGTTTTGGCTCTCTAACTTCTCGTACAAGGCGTCCATTTCCGTGTTCTTCGGCGGCTGCCTTAGCGAGCCTCTTGCAACTCTTGTAGGTGGCGAGGTCTTCGGAGCTCCTGGTCTTCTGCCAGCGCTTGTATGCTTCCTTCTTCTGTTTCCACGACTCGCTGAAACTTCCATTCCTTCGTTTGAGGTCACTCTTCTCCGCTCGGTGCAACTTCCACCACCGGATTCTCCTCTCGGTTCTTACCCTTGTCTTCTTGGGAAGGTCTATGGCTATGTCTGCCAGGAGGGGCCTGTGCTGAGGAGCCAGTCTTCGCCAGGAATTACCTTGATATCCTTCACAGTTTTGAGGGATGATCTTCTTACCAGTACATGGTCGATTTCCGTCTGTCTCCCTCCACTGCTGTAGGTTACCTTCTGAGTCTCCCTTTTCGCGAAGAACGTGCTGCAGATTGCCAGATCGTGGGCAGTAGCCAGGTCCAGGACCCTCTCTCCCTCGGCATCCTCACTTAAAGGCACGCTTTAGGATCTGATTGGCGGGCTCTTCCACGTGAATACGAATGTGTTAATGCGAAATGAGCCTCTAATAGAGCAAAAAGGAAAAAAAAATCCGTCGAAAATGCTTTGGTTTACTTACCTTCGTAATCGGATGTGCTAGGGGAATGAGTGTCTAAGCGCGGGCATGACAGTATGAGGCGATAGAGCGTGACAGTAATGGAGGAGGGCACCAGACAACAGTCTTGATCAGTTGATGAAGAGAAAATCCGCCAACCCTAAGCACTCTTTGTGGGTTGATTTCGTCTACGGATGCGACATCTCTAATTGTGCTCTAACGGTCTATCATGCAGATGGAAGGAAATCGATCACCTAATTTTTGCTTGGGCTGTAGCTTTAATGTTGTGTAGGATGTGATCCTCGAATAGAAAGTGAATTAGTAGACCATTGGACGTTCAGCTTCAAGTATTCTTGTATTCGTTGTACTGTTTCTAGATAATAGTCCATGGCCTTGCCCGATTGGTACTTGTCTACACGTAGCTGATGCAGCGGTAGATTTAAAGCGTCATCTCGCAATGCATCAGTTTCATGCTCACGCTCAATTCGTCGGATTAATAATTATCGGAACCAAGTCAGATTTCAAGGGCATGGCAAGGTATGGTTGGTATCTTTAGTCCACATGTTTACTGTTTCCCTTAAGTTGATATAGCAGGTTTCAGTTGTGGCTTCTCACCAACGTTAGATATAGCGTACTCAGGCGACATCACTTACTGCAGATCTGGGGCATTCATAAAGTTGAGGAAAATATTGCAGAAGTGGATGACCTACCTAAAGGGAATAAAAACGTTTGATGTTTGCCAATCGCTTTCTGGGATGCACCGGGATGCACCACCATTCAGAATCGTGGTTGTATTTTAATGCGATTTTCCCCTATACTATGACATACAGAAACCAGTACTTTTGTCCTCTTAGGCAAAACCGGCACCAGTTAACCAGGTGCAGTGAGTGAAAGCGTGTGTCGCCTGACCGATACCTAACGTAGCGTTTAATCTGAAGATGGCGCGCCCGTTCTCTAGGTGAACATACCGCAGGGTTCCTATTGTGTTCACATGTTGTTCATGACATGTCATTCAGATGAAATAAAATAAAATACCCTACTACAACCCTTGTTATTCTGGTAGTGAACATAACGTCTTTTATAATGAGGCTGGGAACTGTTGGTCGTGGCCCTGATTTTTTATATGCTTTGGGTCGCTGTAAAACATAATCTCATTCGGTGATTTTATCAATTTTGCAAGCACACAAACTTAAGTCCACTGATAATATTAAGTGAATGTGTGCACAAGTACTCGTTTCTCTTCACGCAGCCCTATAAGAAAGTTGCCTGGCGATTGTGACCGTTTCTGGTTTCCCCTTCTTCCTCTCCTTTGATATGTATGAAACGATGAAGAAAAATCTGACGACGTTGCTCCACAAACCCTCATCAATCATGGGCAGATCATTTCAGGACAATTTCTCAGATCCTCTGCATCTCTTCAGTCACGTCATGATACACATTGACTTCCTGAGCAGTGACGATCGTGTTTGTGATGATGAATCGATGGCACTCCCACAACACAGATGTCTTTGGGAGAACTGCTACCGGCAGTTCGAAAATAAGGGAGATTTGAGGTTGGAGATTTATATTATTCACAGTTTGAAATTTTTAAGACTTTATACATATTTACTATAAAGAAAAGATAAATAAATGTCCTAGCGGTTTTTAAGTAGATTTACTAAAATTAAAATTTATTGAAATATTCCAGGAAACACGTTCGACACCACAGTGGAGAGAAGTACTTGTGCATGTCCGTTTTGCGGTCGATTCTTCTCGCGTCCTGATAAACTTTATGAACATCTTCGCAAACGGGCACCAATACCTGCGGGTAGTGAAAACCAGCACGTGGGTTTTCCTCACTTCCTCACTTCATATGATCAGCACTGTGAGTTTGGCTTCATTCCATGTTTTGATCTTTGACTATCCAGGTTTGGTACCAAAAAAGCGCAAGGGGATCGATATTGCAGCTCATAAGCAGTATGGGGACATGTGTAGACACAGATTGTAAAAACAGATACTTTAGTGAGGAGGAGCAAATACATGGATTTGTATATGAGGGAAACATCTACCTCTAAGAACACGTTTCCAGACATAGCAATGCGCAGATCGACAACGCATTTGCCACCCGAGGCAGAATGCAAAATCGAAACAATCGCACCAAATTGTCCCTGAGGATGAAGGGAAACAGAAAAGATTTGTTTCATATATCATAACAAACGATAAGCGTTCTATTCTTGTCTCTCATGTTAGTCACCAGTAAAAGATAGTTGGGTCTGCTAGTTAGTTTTCAATTCCACAAAGGACAGCTTGTCCCCTTTGTCTTGAACGATATTAGACAGTCATCGTTTTACAGCTTTGTCTCCTCTGTCAGCGTCGTTTCGGTGATGAACGCTCATTGGTGAATCACGTACGGCGCCACATCAATGGCCGTCAATGTCCTACATGTGGATTGGCTGTTCAGCTTCCTTCTGATTTGCACAGGTACTCTCACGTACATTTTCTGAATTTATTCCTCGTTAAAAGTCCTTCTCCAGGCATATATTGGTGAAGCACACTGAAAGAATAAAGACTCTGACTTGTCCGGAATGCGAGAAGAGCTTCTATTGCCCAGTAGGTTCCATTCTTCGTACTATCAAAAGGATAAATGGTAGAGGCAGATTTGAAGAGATAACAGACCGACATTTTTTGTATTTTCTTTTACTATTTTTTCCGCCACTCATTTTGCTATAGGGGCGAGAAGGTGAAGTGAGAACAGGTGCTGCTTTACACGCGCTGTCCAGTATTGAATTCCGGGTCATGCACCATCCAGGCCAGCCAAGCCTTTTGTTACTGGGGTTCCGGCTATGGTAGTCTAGTGTGGGAGGATCAAAGCTCTGAGTTGTAGATCGGCTAGTTACTGAAAGTCACTGGATCGGGCAGGTCGCATATCAATACCACTACGATTCTGAATGGAATCAGAATGCATGACGCATCCCAAAAAAGGAATTGATCAGTGTCAAACTCATCATCCTTAATCCTTTATTCATCTTTCTATACCTTTCCAAATCAGTTATCTGGAACGTGTTCTGCTTTTCTAGACAGATCTGATCAGGCATAGTGCTGTTCACGCTCCACCAAAAGAATTATGTACGGTTTGTGGAGAACGTTTTCGATGGAAAAAGCAATTGGATAGGCATATGACAACTCATTCAGTGGTAATGATTCGGCTTTTGATCCACTGGCTCTGTCTTAATGGTTTTGCGTCTTCTATAAAATGTAAATATTATGATCATAATTGAGCATACCCTTATTTAGACTGCATTGAAGCAGCCGTATCTTTGTCATATATGTGACTCTACTTACGCTACTGGGCATGGACTCACTCGTCATCTCTCGCGAAAGCATGAATGTCCCATTCCTGAAGGATTCAGCCGGTTTGTTCTAACACCGTTCTTTGTTTCAAAATGTGAACCTTCTCAAGAAACAGAAAATTTGAAACCCCAATTTGAAGAGGAGAAACAAAAAACCACAAGTTAGCTACAGAACAAACCGGAATGGAATCACGCGGGTGAGGTGAGGGTTCCACAAATGTTTGGAAACACATCCTCAAAAAATACACTCACCTATAAAACAAGTCGTATTCTGCCAACTTATTTGTTCAAGACGTTCTTGTTCAGGTTCTCATACAAAAAATGTGCAGACGGCTGTTATCGGCTGCAGACTCGTAAACTGGTTCGCACTGTTCTGTACGAGAAATGACATACTCCTATTTTTCACGTTCAAATTAACCTCTTACCGGTAACGAATGCCATCTGTCATTTGATAATGCTGGTGTAAAATGTTTTTTGCTCTCAAAAGAGTTTGGCTAAGCATTATTTGTGCTTGCTCCTATAAACATATCACAGGTACTTGTGCATTTTTTGAAGTTTTCTGTTTATATCCAGAGCAACAGTTGTTGAATAAAACCTTATTCATTTCTTGTGTGGTTCACACTGGTTGCAATACCCTAGTGCTCCATATTTTCTCACTTGTACCTTCACATTAGTAATATTTAGAACGCTTGCATGGTTTTCTAATAGGTAATGTGGACGTCGCGAATAGCATCGATAGCGGCTCGCTTACCGAAGTCTCTGGGTCGACGTTATTTGCTTTCAGAAGCGTTTTCTTTGGAGAAAGTGAGAGTTCTTGATCCCGTAATCGATACAGGCTGTGTTTCTTGCCAAACGCTCATTTTAGGAATGGGCTTCTCGACATGCTGAAATGACCAAATTAGGATTGGGTGGTGATTATGAATGGATAAGTGCTGTACAGAAGAAATTCATCGGAGGCGGTTTAGCAAGGTGAGCGAGTGAATGCAATATCTTAAGCATAGTGAGAAGTGTCCAGCTGGTCGATATCCGACGTAACCAGGCGCGATACTGCTGAAAGCAACATTAGAGATCCTTCGCCGGAGCTGGGTAAATGGGTATCGCTTCCTCCCCCTCCCCTCTTCTGCCAAATGAACATGCCGGGTACGACAATGTAATGAGCACTGTACGATGTACAGCACTCTCATCTCCGCGTGTCGGCACACAAAATAATAAGGCAGAAATGTGGCTTGCTCCACCTTGGACCGCGGCGAATAAGGTGAAGGTGAAAAAATCTCATTCGGCTCCAGAGCCTCCCAGAAAACGGGGATATGAGTAGAGGTTGGCATAAGATGAGGGAAACCCGCGCACCATGACGGAGCGTCTATCAACTGGATGGTGCTTTCTCTAAAACTCTGAAATCGGTGCCAAGGCACTTGGAAAGAGAATGGGCAATAATATAGCACGCGTAGCCCTGCCCACGACGGGCGGAGCATGGTTCGTAATAAGGTTGCGAGATAGCAGGTCGGCGGCAAACGGGAGGAAACTAGCGAATCAAGACGAAAAGGACGTTTTTGATGGGCAGGAGCTGCGTGCGGTTTAGGGTGGGCCAAGTATAACAGTTCCACATTCCGTTCATATCGCTGTAAGCTGTCCAATGGGTAAGCGTTCAGACTCCGCGACTTGCTGAGTTGGGCAGGCAATCGCGTCCAGTGCGTGAGTTGGAAGCGTGATCTCTTGTGTCGAGCAGAACATCAGGGTTTGACCATTGAGAGTATTTCTTGCTCCACTACATCCCCATTCGCACACACGCCCGCTCAAGAATAGTAAGCATTCGCGGAGTCTGACATCTATCTGACGCGAGCGTTAGTGGTGTGGAGCCAAACTGGTTTGAACGCTGTTCTCTACTACAAACGTAAGCAATTATGATTTCAGCGCCATTGACGTCGATGCGGCTGTATGCGTTGCTGAACACAAAGATCCAGGTATAGCTTCTGAGGAATGGTTAAAATATGTTTCCCCCCCACGTTTTTTGATGCAAAGTCAACAATTTTGATGATGAAACACATGAACTTATTTTCAAAGTGCGATCAACGTAACTTCTCGGAACATCCGAACAAGGAGAGCAAAAAATAGCAAAAGTTGACGCTGTTGTGTTCCCTTCTGCTACTTTTTGCTCTACTTGTTTGGATTATCTAAGCATTTTCATTAGGTGTTTGAAGTGCTGCTTCGAGGGTGTGGATTCTCTGGCGTTAATTGCAGCCAGATTAATGTGATAATGTAATAATTAATTCTATATGAGCATAACCTCTCTAGCGAGTACCGTGCCTCTAGGTTTGTTAGTCACAGATCTCTCTACTTTTGATTTTTGGCACTCTTTTTCTGTCGCTATCTCTTTTTTGAGCTTAGAGTGATTCGAGTTCTGAGTTTTCTCAACTGATTTCTTTATCTCTTGCCTCTCCTAGACCGTAGATGTTGGGGCAGGTTCGATCAACCTACTTTTGGTCACGAAGCCTCCTTGTAGGTGGACGATGTAGTGGAGCTGCTGTACAAGTTGCGACACAGCGAAAACGCAGCTGACCTGCCAGTCTCTGCTGAATATGCGCTCATCCGACTTTTACTTCGCCACGATCCATCCTTTTTGTTCAAGTTGGCGGATGATCCCGTGGGTTATTCTATTCATCCCTTCAACTACGAGTTGTTTAATATTTGGAGATTTTTCTTTTCAGATCAACTACGGTATTTTTATGAACGAGCATGCCGCTTGTTTAGCTATTGATCACTTTATCAAACGGAATGATTTCGGAGGTGGGTCTTCTCTCGTTCGTTGTATACCGTAAATGATTGTAATTTCTATTAAGGTGCTGCTCGATTGGCTGCTTGGGTTATGCAACAGGAAATGACTGAAACGAATTGCTAAATCTTTTGGGTAAGAAGATTTATCCCAAAAACTGATGTTAAGAAAAGCCGAAATCGTTTCGTTATCAATTAGGTAGAGCAGTGGGTAACCGAACGGAAGCAGGAATACCCTCCCCCTCCCGGACAGAACTGCCTCGGTGAATTCCCTAGTCTCGCTGCTCATGGACCAGAACAGCGAACTTGACATGATTTTTTCCAATAATCTTAGGAATAAACAATTGTTACCGAACCGACCAGGACCTCAGTTTCGTGATGTTTCTGTGTGAAATTTACGAACAAGTTGAAAAACAACTGGACCACCGTTACGGAGCACTGAGTTGATATTCTTCAATATCAACTCAGTGCTGTCTGAGCCGATATTCGTGACCGTCTTGTAGTGCACCGTCGATTCAGCCTCTCCGGGTATCAAGGGTTCGTCGAGGTTAAAGGAATCTTCCACGGACCATGGACCAGTGGGCGGGACCGGAAGTGGTTTTGCGACGAAATGCATGGTAGGTACGGATCCACGTTCATGGGAAGGTTTGAAGTGAATCCTGTTCACGTTCGTGCGTTCGACACGTGGATCCGTACCTACCATGCATTTCGTCACAAAAACTTCCGGTCCCGCCCACTGGTCCATGGTCCGTGGAAGATTCCTTTAAGTCAGAATCTTATTTTTCGAAGCTGCTAATTTGTGACCTCGTGTAACTCCTTGAATCAAGTTTTATATAGATGCTGGGTTGTGGGTAAAATACTTCTACCCAGGCGGGAATCAAACTTGCAACATTTGCTTGCCGTGCAACCGTGCCAACGATTATACCGCATTAATGAGTTGAATATAAATAAATAAATAAATGTTTCAGCAGATTTGTGCGCTTTCAATCGGTAGAGATCTTACGCGCGTCCGGACTACACGGTCCTCTGTGCTTTTCGAGTTTCTCTCAGCAGAGAGAATTTCGATTGCTATGCTCTTAGTTGCGAATAATTTCGGTCTTTTTTGAGGTTCCTCTATCAATCAGTGGCGCTGCACTGCATCCCTAAAAGAAAATACATAGTGGCGATGTTTCGTGCATGCTTATGGGCTGAATTTGTTGTGGGAAGGAATTGGAAACAGCACAGTCTTATGTATCTTGATCCCAAAGATTCTTCAGTACTTTAATATTTCATCCAATTTAGTTCTGTATTCATGTACAAAGTGGGCCGAACTTCCGTCTGAGGAGCAGACAATGCCACGTGATGAGACGGAGGAGGAGGAAGTCAACGATGATGATATTGTGAGAATCATTGACTTTTGAAGATTATTTTAGATTTTTCTATCGTTCTTTCTTCAATACTATGGTGAATCGTTTGATGATTTGTTTTTCTATATAAATGGTTCGATATATTATAGAAGACATTCAAATTTCCCTATCTGAAGAATGCTTATTTCGACTCTCACTTTGATCTCACCGATCCCCATCAACTGGTAGGAAAAACTTTGCTCTGGGTGGCACGTGATTCGCGTTCTTTCTCTGAACCGATAAATCAGTCCTTGAGACTTCTCGGAGCTGTTTTATACAACAGGTAAACTTTGTTGTGTATTATTATAGCTGAAATCAGAATGTATGTTTTAAGATCGGTAGCAGTAGTTTTTTGCATACATAAATGAAGGCTCCATTGAGGGCAGATGTTACGTGGTTGGTCGCCTGCTGGGAAAAAGTAGAGCTACTAAAGGGTGCAGCTGTTTGTGACTCTGTCTCTCTGCTAGGTTAGAGTCTGACGACGAGGTGTAGCCAATAAGTGGGGCGGAGAGAGAGCCATAAAGAATGCCCACCGCCACTGGTGAAGCCCTATTAGGCTACTACGAGTGCACCCTGCGCACCAAACGCGCCTCGTTCCGCTCCCGCGGAGGCCCTGCCTCTCGATGGTAGATTCCATTTTTGTTCCGACTTTCAAATGAAGTCACATCGCTTTGAGCGTGAATATCATGTCACAAAATTTCTGTTCAATCATATTTGCATTGGCGTGAGAGAAATGAGCATAAAAAGTAGCCGAACATTCTGAACAGCCGGCTACTGAGAGGGGCTGTCCGGAATGTCACGGCATCACGATTTATTGGGCAGATGGGTGCCATCAGTAATGCAGCGGTAGAATGCTCACAGAAGGATGCTAAAATTTCAAGCGTGCCTCTTGATATCATGCTAATTCATACGTGAGGTCCCCTCAACGAGGTAGGGTCGAATACTGCATGAGTTGGGTTGCGAAGAACGATGTATGATTTGTTTCGGTGGAATTAAGACGGGATCTTTTGTGAAATATGTGAAGGAGTTACAGGTCAGAAGTTTAGACTGAACGAAGAAACTTTATGTCGGATCCTGGCGCCTGTGGGAATTCGGCTAGGTACATAAGCAAATGAAGCGCACTCGATTGATTATTATGGCAAGGACAGTGAGGTAGTGCGAAACATTTGGCCTTGATGAGACTCGAACCCGCTGCGAAGTTTTCCGAACACCACTCCGCTGCGCTAATTTTAATTGATCAGTACGAGCGAGGGTGATACAGTGGTGAGCGGCGCCACCTTTTACGCGCACAGTTTCGGGTTAAATCCAGATGTCTCGAGTCCAATCTCGTTCAGGCCGTCCAATCCTCCTGCCCTAGGATCGGTTAATTGACATCAGACTTGTCTAGAGCATAAAACGCTGACCTGCTGACCTACACAAGTCATTTTATAGGCCAGATTACATTCAATTGCTTCCGCGATTTGTAATGGAAACAGAATGCATGGCGCATCCGGAAACGATTCATAGATGGCGAATGTTTTATCGTTTGTCAGCACTCAAGTGCAATGAAGCGGATTGGTGGACTCATTAGTGAACTATTAAACTGAAAGCTTCAGCCATTACAGTAGCTTCTGATTTGCTTCACTTCGTTGACTGCTTTTTGGCAAGTATTTGAAGCAAAATTGCGAGTTCAAACTCCATCAAGGCTGAATGTTTTGTCGATAACAGAGCTTCCCTCTGATGGTATTCGCGAAATGTGGCGTAGACCTTCTGGAACAGAATTAATCAATGGCTGTCATGTATCCGGATTCAGTGTTATTTTTCCAGGCTAGACATGGCGTCAACTTTAGCCTCTTCATCTACTCATGGTGGTGTAGCAGATATTATTCGGCAACGGTTCACTCCGGCAGAAGGAGAGGAGCCTTCGGAGCAGCAAAAGGCGATTCCTTGGCAAACTGGAAGGTTGCAATTCAGGCGAAGGCCCGATCAGTTCAGTCGTCTTGTCCACATTAGAAGGCGTCAGTTCATGTCATGTTCACTCTTGATCGCTGTTTCCAAAATTCTCTTAAAGTCACTAGGAAATTTTGCAGGTCAAGGAAAAGGAGGAGGAAGCATTAGCCACGCAACAGAAGGAAGAATTCACGAAATGGCATAAACGACGGCAGGAACTGATAAAAGCACAAGCAGACCGCCTTTTACTAAAGGTATTTCATTATTTCAACGATTTTGAATAATTGGCATCAACGATTTCGAATAATTGGTGTCTGAGCACTTCCCGCTTGTGGATAAAATATCACCTAACTTTAGATGTTTCCGATTTATAGCTGATGTGGGGATTGACGAAAAAAGAAAATAAAATACCGGGGGACACTATTTCGCGCACACGAGTGCATAGTAATAAATAAATATGTAAATAAATAAATAAATAAATAAATAATTTCTAATGGCCAGTGTGAAGTCTCTAACCGACTGCTTCCAGGTTCGTGCCGAAGAGATTGCGAAAGAGCTCGCTGAGCTGGAGCATCATGCGGAACAGCTGAGCTTCTTTGAGAATCGCCTAAAATGGGAAAAACAGGCAGCTCAAAATGCCGAGATCATCCAACAAACGACTTCACAAGAAAATGAAGTCAAGAAATAGAAGGTCTTCCTCCATCGTGATATTTGTCAGCGTCCTTCAAACCTCATTGCTCACACCTGTGACTTTTTTTACAATGAGATTATTAGGTGGTTGATGAATAATTATATAGATTGTGCGTGTTCATCAGCATATACGCTGCGGCCGACTATCAGCATGACCAGCGAACCAGCGCTTGACTTTTATGACTGCACTATTTACTATGTGTTTGTGAATAAGTAGTTTATTGCTCTGTTTTGAGATGAAAAAGATGCGTCGAAGATTGTAGTCCTTGAGGCGTTTGAACGTGTCCTGGTCTATGTGACCGTAAGAGTGTGAAGAGTCGTTTGTCACTGTTTCTACCTCCGTTCTGATAACTATGAATGAATATCGCCTAGTAATCTCAGCTGCTGCGCTGAAGAACGTTGTGTTAGATAGGTTTGATAAGTTTTTGATCTGATAGGAAATTTGCAATTGTATTAGGTTCTATGATTTTGTAAATCTGAAAAGTCTTCATTGTTACTATTGTTGATTTTTCTTGTTAATTATAGCAAAAAATATCATAAATCCCCCGTGTGTCTGTTATATCGAAGGGTCAAGACCACGTATGTGCTGCTTTGAAATTGAGCGTAACATTCCTAAAAATGCTGACAATCAGATGTCTTCTCAAAATCACGCGAAGTCGAAGGAGCTGGATAGTAGATGTCGATTGTGTGAGTTTCTTGCATTGCTAGTAGATACGTCTTCAAAATTTAGCAAAGTAATAAACCAATGAAGGTCAGTTAAAGGCAAAGTTCGGGCTCAGACCCACTTAATGAGCCTTTACGGTGGCTAGAAGCGCTAGGTACGCAAGTGTAGAGGTCGCGTCACTTCCCTACTTCGAAAAGCGTTATTTAGACGCTAGGCGCTAAGAACTTTGACACGCTCCGCCCACCGCTCGATATCTTGTCTGCGTCGCTAACTTGATCTGCTATGCTCTCTCTACTCGGACTTCTCTACGCTCTCCGCGCTCACATTATCTCTCATCTCCCTGCCGGCCTTTTGAACTTCTCCGCAGCGTAGAGCAAAAGGCTCGTATTTCCTGTGTATTTCACGATTTTTTTCTTTTTTCTCCACTGGCGGTCCACTTCCTACCCCTACTTTCACATTTGAGTGGAATTACCTCATAATTTAATCCTGAATCTTGCCTTTAAGTGGCGGAACGCTTGACGGATGCAGTGCGTATACTTGATCATGATCCATCGTTAGCGCTTTACCGTTTACAAGGTAACTTGTTACACTTAGCGCTTCTGATTAGCTGCTTGTGTTATGAGAGCTACAGAAC